TATACAGATACCCAAACAGACCTCTCTTTCACTCTCCCTCTCCCTCCCCTCTCTCTAATTGTTCTCTTTTTAAATGGACGTAAACGTATGTATAATAGCATCACTGGAGTTAGAAATATATTCATGGTCAACATTATATTTCATTTAGAGTTAGCATTACAGTTATAGGGTTAAACAAAATTTGATAAGGAGTCTAGATTTGTTTACTAGTTATAATTCTTACTCTAAATATACAACCTTTGGCCCCTGTTCCTACAGATTTTCCATTACTCCATTTTCCATTACTCTCCCTCATTATTTTCCCATTGCTATGAGTCAAAATACTTTTTCAGGAGTACTAGAGAGCCCTGAAACATAGCATGTGACGGCAGATAAGAGCCATTCGGCCCAATTTTCTTAATACTTGCATTAGTCTCTAATACATAAGGCTATCCTAGATATAACATCTACCACTTTAGCTGGAAGGCTATTTCATGCATGCAGTACCTTCTCAGTAAAGTAATATTTTCTGGTATTATGTTACATCTTTGCCCCTGTAATTTAAAACTGTCCTCTTGTTGTGGTAGTTTTTCTTACTGTGTTGATTCCCTTTATGTATTTAAATGTTTCTATCATAACCCCTCTGTCTCATCTTTCCTCCAAGCTATACATGTTAAGATCCTTTAACCTTTCCTGGTAAGTTTTATCCCGCAATCCATGAACCAGTTTAGTAGCCCTTCTCTGAACTCGCTCTAAAGTATCAATATCCTTCTGGAGATACGGTCTCCAGTACTGCGTGCAATACTCCAAGTGAGTTCTCACCACTGTTCTCTACAATGGCACTTCCCTCTTTCTACTGCTTATACCTCTCCCTATACAACCAAGCATTCTGCTAGCATTTCCTGCTGCACTATTACATTGTCTGCCTACCTGCCTTTAAGTCATCAGAACGAATCACCCCTAAATCCCTTTCCTCAGATGTTGAGGTTAGGACAAATATTCTGTACTCTGCCCTTGGGTTTTTACATCCAAGATACATTATCTTGCACTTATCCACATTAAATGTCAGTTGCCACAATTCCGACCCTTTTTCTAGTTTACCTAAATCATTTGCCATTTGGCTTATCCCTCCTGGAACCTCAACACTGTTACGTATCTTAGTATCATCAGCAAAAAAACATACCTTAGCATCATGACCTTCTGCAAGTAGAGACAGTCTGGTTCCTTGCAGTTTATGGGGACCAACTGGAGAGATCATTTGAGGCAGATTAATGGTGTATCCAATCCTTTATCACATTGGCCATCTGGCATTGTGATTTTAACCAGATTTTAACTGTATCTGATGCTCCATTTAAAGTTATTGCTCTGTATATAAATACAAGCTAAGTCCAAACAACATGCAGGTGTTACACGTTAGGCCAGGGGTAGACAACTTTTGTTACGCCAGATATTGTGGACTACGTCTCCCCTGATGCTTTGCCAGCATTATGGCTGTAAGAGCATTATCAGAGATGTAGTCTACAGCATCTGGAAAGACAAAGGCAGCCTTCCCCTGCTTTAGACCAATGCAAGAAACAAAAAAAACAAAAATCTAATCCAGACCAGAATTAAGAAGAACATTTGCTCGTCAAGCCCACAGCTAGTCAGGCAAAATGTTTTTTTTTGTTTGTTTGTTTGTTTTGTTTGTTTGTTTTTTTTAGGTTAGTTTAGCCAAATAAAGTCAATAAAAAATAACCTTAGTTCCCCAGGGTTTTAAAGTCTCACTGAGTTAGTGGAACAAACACAATAAGATTTTACAATTCATACTAAAGTAATCCAAGCTATTTAAAAAATTAAATAAAATCTGCTTGGAATTTCTGTATTTTGTTTGGCAGAAAGACATAATTAGAAAAAAATGCCACTTCCAACTGTGATGTATTGAAATTGCAATCAGTGTCTACTTTGCCAATCTCGGTGCCATTAGCGGTCCTTGTACATATATCCCAGAACAGATAATTCCATACACCTATTTTAAGTGCAGAAAATGACCTCTGGTTGGTTGCATCCATTTTCAACTCTCTGCTGAGAGGGATTTTTTTGTTTTTTTTTTGTTACTTGTCTGCTAGTGCTCTTACAGTGTAGTAAAGGTGATGAACTCACTGCTTAGCTTGCCTTTCCAAGAAATGCATGATTATAGAGAAAGCGTTTTACGCTTAATGAGATCAGTTAACGATGGGAGTGAAGGTGGGACCGTTGCAATCTAATGACCGCTATTGACCCACAATTGTCTTTCTGAGCATTCAACATGTTTATAACAATGATTTTAAGGAGAATAAAAAAAAACACATCCAGACAGGCTAATAAATGATTCATTTTTCTTACCGCCTGTGCATTTTTAATTATCTGCTGCTAGACGCTGTTTGCATCAATACATTTGTTTTATCTGTCATGTGTAACTGGTTTTGGCATTTACTGCCTTTAATGTATGGTTTATTGAGGCCTTCTCACTGAACTGCTAGCAGAATGCTTGGTTGTATAGGGAGAGGTATTAGCAGTAGAAAGAGGGAAGTGCTCATGCCATTGTACAGAACACTGGTGAGACCTCACTTGGAGTATTGTACTCAGTATTGGAGACCGTATCTTCAGAAGGATATTAATACCTTAGAGAGGGTTCAGAGAAGGGCTACTAAACTGATTCATGGATTGCGGGATAAAACTTACCAGGAAAGGTTAAAGGATCTTAACATGTATAGCTTGGAGGAAAGATGAGACAGGGGGGATATGATAGAAACATTTAAATATATAAAGGGAATCAACACAGTAAAGGAGGAGACTATATTTAAAAGAAGAAAAACTACCACAACAAGAGGACATAGTATTAAATTAGAGGGACAAAGGTTTAAAAATAATATCAGGAAGTATTACTTTACTGAGAGGGTAGTGGATGCATGGAATAGCCTTCCAGCTGAAGTGGTAGAGGTTAACACAGTAAAGGAGTTTAAGCATGCGTGAGATAGGCATAAGGCTATCCTAACTATAAGATAAGGCTAGGGACTAATGAAAGCATTTAGAAAATTGGGCAGACTAGATGGGCCGAATGGTTCTTATCTGCCGTCACATTCTATGTTTCTATGTATACAGTTACTGTGAGGTATCTGGTGATGGTTCTATTTTGAGCGATTATTTATTTATTTTTTAAGCTTAGAGGGATACTGTCACTTATTATCTAGGAATGATACTATTGCATATATTGAAAATAATCTGTAAATTTTTTTACCTTTTTTTTAAGATGTATAAATAATAATTGAATTGTTTCTCCTCCACTCTCTCTGTGTATGCTGTAATTTTACTGACTGACAGGTGGAAAGGGCAGAGAGCATATAACGATGATTAACAGGGAGCCAAGATGGAGATGCTCAATTTCTGGATAGAGATAAATATAACCGTGTGGAATTCTACATTTAAAACTTTTTTCAGATCTCTTAAGCTTGATATATTTGTTAAATATAAAGGATAAGTAAATATAATAAAAAGAAGAAGAAAATGGAAGAATCAGTGGTAGGAAGTATGTAGGTGTACACATAGCAATGTGTGTACAACTATATGCATGCAAACCTCCACTGAATCTATACACCAGTGAGACACTCCAGGAATGTATCAGGGCTTAGCCCAATAGATCTAAAATATACAAAACAAAGAGACAATCTCAAGACTTGTGAGAGGAAATGTCGCCTGGAATTGAAACACTATCCTTAAAGAATTAATGTAACAGAACACTGTATAATGGGGGAAAAGAGGTCAAAAAGTGATCAAAAATATATACACAGTGAACTTTAGCCTTAAAAGGCTAATCCTCTATCTATTGCAATACCTACATAATGTAACAGACAAATGAGAAAGTTTAAAAATGGCGCTTCAAATTCTTGTTTAAGGAAATATATACTAAGAAACTAGTAGCTGCACCTTTAAAGTGTCAATCCAATAAAAACACACTTTAAAGGGATGCTCCAGGCACCCAGACCACGTCTGCCCATTGGAGTGGTCTGGGTGCCAACTCCCACTACCCTTAACCCTGCAAGTGTAATTATTGCAGTTTTCATTGCAGGGTTAAGTCCTGTAGTAGACAGCCACTAGAGGGACTTCCGTGTTAATAGAACACAAAAAGTGTTTTAAAACGACGCGGGACGTCCTCAGGCTATGTGAGGACCTCCAGCGTCGCCGAAATCCCCATAGGAAAGCATTGTATAATGCTTTCCTATGGGGAGAACATGGGGTTTGTTTTCCTATGGGGAGGTCTAATGCGCGTGCACGGCCATTGCGTCTCCCCCGCTGCCGTCAGTAGATATGTAGACGTCAGTAGATATGTTTTCCTGGCACTGGAGAATCCCTTTAAATTAGAACAAAAGTGGCAATATTATTATATGCAAAAAACCCTTTGATATAACGATGTTGTGTGTGTTGTGGATGCAGTGTGTATTTGTCTAGTGTGTGCAGTGGATGCAGTGTGTATTTGTCTAGTGTGTGCAGTGGACGCAGTGTGTATTTGTCTAGTGTGTGCAGTGGATGCAGTGTGTATTTGTCTAGTGTGTGTAGTGGATGCAGTGTGTATTTGTCTAGTGTGTGTAGTGGATGCAGTGTGTATTTGTCTAGTGTGTGTAGTGGATGCAGTGTGTATTTGTCTAGTGTGTGTAGTGGATACAGTGTGTATTTGTCTAGTGTGTGTAGTGGATACAGTGTGTATTTGTCTAGTGTGTGTAGTGGATACAGTGTGTATTTGTCTAGTGTGTGTAGTGGATGCAGCGTGGATTTGTCTAGTGTGTGTAGTGGATGCAGCGTGGATTTGTCTAGTGTGTATATAATGAAAGCAGAGTGTTTGTGTACTGTGTGCGTAAAGTGAATGCTGTATATACTAAATGCAAAGTGTGTGTGTTTGTGTAGTGTGTGTATATAATGAATGCAGAGTGTGTGTGTGTGTGTTTGTGTAGTGTGTGTATAGTGAATGTAGTGTGTTTATATAATGCAGAGTATGTGTGTTTGTATATGTGTGTATATAATGCAGTGTGTTTGTGTAGTGTGCATTATATAAACACACTACACAAACACACTGCATTATATACACACACTGCAAACACACTGCATTATATACACACACTGCCATATATAAACACACTACACAAACACACACTGCATTATATACACAGTGTTTGTGTAGTGTATGTGTATATAATGGAGTGTGTGTATATAATGCAGTGTGTTTGTGTAGTGTATGTGTATCTAATGGACTGTGTGTGTGAGGGGGCATTTTTTATTAAATTATTATTTTTTTATATTTAATTATTTTATTTTTTTTGTACCCCCTCCCTGCTTGTTGCCTGGCCAGGGAGGGGGGGATATAGCATTCCCTGGTGGTCCAGTGGCATTGGCTGAGCTGTGGGGGGACGGGCATCAAGCGTTTACTCACCTCCCAGCAGCTCCTCCAGCTCCCCAGTGTAAGTCTCGCGGCCAGCGTGCCGCGTGGGTCTCACGAGAGTTACACTGGGGAGCTGGAGGAGCTGCTGGGAGGTGAGAAAGCGCTTGCTGCCCGCCCCCCCCAGGACCACCAGGTTTGTAATGAGCCTGGCGGTCCTAGGATGTAATATCGGCAATATCGGTATCTGAATTGGCCGGTACCGATATTGCCTAAAATACAGAATATCGGTCGATCCCTAATGTGTTGGAAGCAGGAAAGATGGGCAAGCGAAAAGATATGAATGACTTTGACAAGGGCCATATATTGATGGCTAGACGACTGGGTTAGAGCATCTCCAAAATAGCAAGTCCTGTGGGGTTTCCTGATATGCAGTAGTTAGTACCTACCAATAGTGGTGCAAGAAAGGACAACCTGTGAACTGGCATAGGGTCATGTGCTCCCAAGGTTTATTGATGCTCTTTGAAAGCAAAGACTAACAGACCATGTACACTTCTTCATGACAATGGTGTTTCCTGGTGGCAGTGAACTCTTTCAGCAGGATATGGCACCCTACCACACTGCAAAAATTGTTCAGGAATGGTCTAAGGATCTTGAAAAAGAGTTCAGGGTGTTGCCTTGGCCACCAAATTCCCCGTATCTCAATCCGATTGAGCATTTGTAGGATGCTGGAACAACATATCCAATCCATGGAGGCCCCACCTTACAACTTGCTGGACCTAAAGGTTCTGCTGCTAATGTATTGGTGCCAAATACCACAGGACACATTAAGAGGTCTTGTGGAGTCCATGCCATGATGCATCTGAGCTGTTTTGGCAGCATGAGTGGAACATACACTAAGCCAGGAGATGCACTAAGAAGAGGTATTTCATTACATGCATGCCTACAAAATAACATACACATAGGCTATAGTGTTATAGTAAATAAAAGTTTTTATTTATCTTTTAACTAGTAGGGGGAGTTTTCTATGGCCATTGTACAACATTTTTAAATATGTTCGTACTTTATAAATATTTTTTTTTTATGAAAGGGACTTTTCAGGAGGCAGAGCTGATGTTACATAGATTTCCCCCCACTACAACTTACTGGATATGATTTGTGTTTGCTCATCATTATTATTATTATTATTATTATTATTATTATTTATAAAGTGCCAACAAATCTGCAGCGCTGTACAATTGCTAGACTAACAGATAAGTATTTCCAACAAAGACGAGTTTGATGCACAGAGAGTGCTGAGGGCCTTGCTTAAACGAGCTTACATTCTAGAGGGAGTGAGGTAAAGTGACACAAGACATAAGGGTAAGATGTATTGTAGGTATGTAAAAAGTAGGTTGCTAGAGAAGTTTATACATTTTTGAGGTTCTCCCAGAAAGTGAGGCACTGCTTTACCAGTGATCATGTGAGAAGTTCTTGATAAAGTGATATTTTAGGAGTTTTACTCGTGATATGCTAAAACTTTATTTATTATAAAATACAATTTATATGTATGTGATATATTATAAATAAAAATATTTATTATAAAAATAAAGATTGCTCTACATTTGCTCTTTATCCTAGAAATTATTATTTTGACAGAACTATTTTAATTGTAGCCTTTTGCAATGTCTCCTATATTATTTGTATTATCCAGCTTAGTGATATGAGTATAGGCTTTTAGTATTTTCATTTCAATTGCAATTTAACATTAGAGCTAAATCCATTCAGCAAAATCCAGTTGACGTTCCTGTGTCCATGTGCGAAAGTTAAGTTCTCTTTGTAAAAGGATCAGTAGGTGGTTTTTTTTTGGGGGGGGGGGGTTTAAATAGTGCAATTCTCACTTTGATAAATGTTTAATTTAAAACCATACAGTTTATAGTGATGGTGAACTGCAGTAATTCCCTCTCCCTCCAAAAAAAAAAGTCAAGGTTTTGAAATGGTGCACCAAACAATTTCTTAAGGGGCTACTTCATTACTTCAGTGTAACTTTTTTTTTTCACGCTGGATGTGAAGGTGCACATTTGGTACCAATGTACTTTGAAGCTGTACATGAAGAGCTTCATACTGAAACACTGAACATAGAGGCTCCAAGCACCGTGACCACTTCAAAACATTAAAGTGTGCATGGTGCTTTTAAAATGAAAACATGACCCTTGCACTCATATTTTATAAATAAGCACAGCATTTATGTATGTAGATAAGAGTATATAAATGACTGTATGCTTTAGTCTTTTGCAAATAATGTGTATTTTCAGTGTGGCAATATTTTCAGATCATGGACCAAATTTTTTTCTTTCAAATGCCAAAAATGAAATGACCCCATATTTAGCTACAGAAGAACAATATTGCATATTGTGAGTGTAAGACGTTGTGTCCTTTTTACGATTCTACTCACTATAGTAGATCTAATCTTTTTTTTATTTTTTCTGCTTCAATAGATTCTTAAGAAATAATTTCTAAATTTGTATATAGATTGTATAGTGTATCTCTAGTTATATTGTCACAAAAATGAAATCACCAAACATGAAAGCTCCCTTGCTGTCTGTATTGGTGCAGTTGTCTCTCCAGTCCTGATCAATGCATGCATATCTGGAATGTCAATAATACAGCCAAAACTGCTGAAATTATTGAGTGTTTTTTCTGTTAGTCTCGCCTACCGTTGTTAGCAAATAAAACATAGAGGAAAGTAACAGACTATTAGACATGAATTCCTATTTTAATGCCACTGCAAATAATTGCTGTAAAACAGAGTTGCTGCATTGTAAGTAAAAGATAATATAATTTTTAAAGAAAATACTGATATTAAAGCTGGCCATGGGAGTTCACGTTTATGATTTCTAAGCAGTGAAGCTAATAAAATCAGTTGGCCTACTCATTGGAGTTATTAACTATTGGGGACTTTTTAAAAATCCACTATTTTTGTCGGTGAATTGGGGACTTTTTAAAAATCCACTATTTCTGTAGGTCTCCTTTTTGCAGATCAAGTTTTCAGATCACTGTAGTTTGCTGTTTAGGGAATGCACTCTGTTATCACCTTTAATGGATTCACGAATGGCTGGTATCTTTCCACGTGTCACCCTTCCATGAGATTCTTCTTCTAACAGCTGTACTCCATATTGATTTTCTAACAGTAAGTGGAATGCCCTCTAAATGTGCCCTTTATTACATGCTGCATGGCAACTCCTGGTAACCTTAAAATTAAAAATAATTGTACTATTGGTTCACAATCTTAGCATAGGATGCCACTTACCAAAGACTTATCACCTTAATCTATCCTCACACTTTCCTATAATGCGTTTTGCTGTTACTGGAAATGGCTTTTTTATTATTGTTTTCCTTTTCCAAGTGCATGAATCATTGAGATCAGTAAACCAGCCTGCCGTGAAGTAGCACTAACATTTGTCATATGACGAAGTATTCTCTTTTTTAAGAAGCCTAGTGATAAATGTTGTAGTCACAGTACTAAATCAATATAAAATGCTGCAAGCTTGTATATCTCATAATCTCAGCTTGATTAACTGTTTACAAACCATTGAATGGTAATACAGCAATCTGTGTAACAGATTCGATTAGCAGAATAGCCTGTTGATGTTATATCAAGGTGGCTTTCAAAGCCCACCATGTTGTACCCATTCACTGTACTAAACATAACTGATATCTTCCTGTACCAGTATGCAACAAGATGCATGTTATCACCATTAAAGGGACACTATAGTCACCAGTGGCAAGTGCCGCCTCCTCCCCCCAACCCTCTGAGAGCTAAGGGCCGCAGGCACATTGCTGGGCAGCTGGCACTTCCCCCATACACACTCTTCTCCTCCATACACACTGCACCCCCCCACACACTTCTCCCACACACACTGCACCCCCATACACACTGCACCCCCACACACACAGTGCTCCCCATACAAACACTGCACCCCCACACACTTCTCCCTCCACACACACTGCACCCCAACACACTTCTCCCCCCCACACACACTACACTGTCATATACACAGTGCTCCTCCACACAAACACTGCACCCACACACACTTCTCCCCCATACAAACACTGCACTCCCACACACACAGTTCTCCCCCACACAAACACTGCACCCCCACGCGTGTCTCACTCACACATACTACACCCCCATACACACACTTCCCCAACTGCACTCCCATACACACACTGCCCCCACTACACTCTCATACACACAGTGGCCCCATACACACAGTGATTCCACTGTACCCCACATATACATACTGCACTCCCATGCACACACTTCCCCAACTGCACTCCCATACACACACTGCCCCCACTACACTCTCATAAACACACTGGCCCCATACACACAGTGATTCCACTGCACCCCACATATACATACTGCAGTCCCATGCACACACTACACCCCTCACACAAACACACATTTCCCCTCCTGCACACAGTGCTTCCACTGCACCCCCATACACACACATGCACTGCCTCCCGTACAGACACACACACGCTGCACCCCTCACACACTGCCTCCCATACCCACCCTGCATCCATCACACACTCAGTGCTTCCCACACACACACAAACACACTCTGCCTACTCTCACACACACACACACACACACACACACACACACACACACTACTAGAGGCCCCATCCCCTACTACAGCCCCTATCCTGGCAGACCCCAGGTAAATTGTC